CTGGGGGTGCCCAAGTGCATGTCCGCATGGATATGGGCGTTTCTCCGGGACAGGAGAGCTGCGGTCGAGGTCAACGGCGCCCGAGGAGGCGAGCGCCCGTTCCGGGCCGGACTCCCGCAAGGCAGTGTTCTGGCCCCAACGCTTTACACGCTGTGGTCGGCCGACCTGATCACGGCGCTCAAGACCGTGCCAGGCACAGACATCTTCATGTATGCCGACGACACGGCGACGCTCAGCAGCGGCGCCTCCGTCGAAGAGGCCGGCCGCCGAGCCCAGCGAGCTGCGGACATCATCGCCAGCTGGGCATCAAGATGGAAAATGCGGGTCGCCGGCGAGAAAACACAGGCCCTCGTCCTATCCCAATGGGCCCGCGACGCGTCGAGCTTGAGCATCAAGGTGTCTGGCGCCGTGGTGACTGCCGGCCCCTCCCTCAGACTCCTGGGCGTGACCTTTGACCGCCTCCTTCACTTCGGCGCCCACTGTGCCGAGCTGCGCAAGAAGGTCCGCCCCCGTGTCGCCCAGCTGCGACGCATGACCGGGAGGAGCTGGGGACTGGGCGAACGCCAATTGAGGTCGGTGGCCAACGGGTACATCAGGGGGGCCTTAGAGTACGCGGCGGGGGCGTGGATGCCTGCGGCCTCCGCTTCACACCTGGAGCTGGTCGACAGGGAGCTGCGGGCGGCGGCCCGGGTGATAACCGGCTGCCCCGCCTCAACACCCGCCTTCGCCCTGCTGTCGGAGGCGGGCATGCCCGCCGCATGCACGCGCCGCTCGGTGGTGGCAGCCAGGCTACTGGGCCTGGCGATGTCCCTGCCAGAGGGCGACCCTCTCCGAGCCCTGGCGGAGTCGACCCCGCCGCGCCGCCTCAAGACGACGACCGGATGGAGGGACCGCGGTCGCGAGGCCCTAGCACGGGTCTGCCGCGGCGGCGCGCCGCTGACCTTTGAAGCGCGGCTAGCAACCGCCGGGCCGCCGTGGCGCGATGTCCCCGGTGTGACCATCGTCCTGGAGGTGGGTCCCGGGGGACGCCGCGACTGCCACCCGGACACAAGACGAGAGGCAGCGGAGAGCCGTCTGGCGGAGCTTCCGGCCGAGGCGACCTGGATATGGTCAGACGGCTCCGCCGCGGATGGGGTGCTGAATGGAGGAGGAGGAGCCACCATCATTTCCCCGAACGGCGACATCAGGGAGGTGCGTGTCGCGGCAGGCGCCCTCTGCTCCAGCACCCGCGCGGAGCTATTCGCCCTGAGAGCGGCGCTGGAGGAGCTCCTGAACATGGATGGCCGTGACACCTCCCTTCCGACTGTCGTCTGTACCGACTCGATGGCGGCGCTGGCCCTCCTGCGGAGCGGCCCGGCGGCCCAGAGGACTCCGCTGGCCCGCAGATATATGGAGGCTGCTGGCCGCGCTCACCGAGGGGGGCCAGCCAGTAACCATGCAGTGGGTCCCTGCACACTGCGGGCTCCCCGGTAATGAGCGAGCGGACGCCCTCGCCCGCGAGGCCAGCGCCCTACCCCAACATGACACTCCGATCGACGGTGGCACGATATGCAAGGCCGTTGCACGAGACGCTGCGCGCGCCTGGCAGCAGAGCTGGCCGGACGGCTGGTACCGGGCGATATGGGCCGACCGCCGTCCCGGCCCCGTCCTGGAGGCCGACCGTGCCGTCGCGGTTGATATTCACCAGCTCCGAGCAGGACACTGGAGCGGCTCGGCGCAGTACCTGCACCGCATCGGCCGCCGTCCCGAGGCCGACTGCCCGCAGTGCAATGACATGGGCTGCCCTGCTGCACGATGCCGCGTCTGCCGCGAGGAGGCGGACACTCCACGACACGTCCTGCTCCGATGCCCGGCGCTGGCGGGACGCCGCCTGCGGCGCCTGGGTAATATTCACCTGGAAGCGTCTATGGCAAGGGACGACGGCGCGGTGGCGGCCTTGGCCGCCGGCTACCGCGCCCAATTGAGCCTCATCGGCTACGCCCCCTAGGGGGCTGGAGGGAACAACGACGACGACGACGAGAAGGCAAACATACTGAATACTCGACTAAAAACAAATCCTTATAGACGTCCAGAAGGCCCACTGGGCCGCCGCCACAGTGGCGAGGGCTCGCACCGTCGGGGCCTGACGGGGATCGACTCCCGCCTACCGTTGCCGGCGGCGACCGGCCAGCGGCGGTGGACATCCACCAGCTCCGCGCCGGCCACTGGACAAGCTCCTCCCAATGGCGCCACAGAGTCGGGTTGGCGCCCTCCTGGCTGTCGGGGTGCAACCAGTGCGACGACCGACAATGCAGAGCCGCACTCTACCCGTCTGCTGAGAGGAGGCGGGCAGCCCAAGCATGTCCTCCTGCGGTGCCCGGCTCTGATGGGCACCCGACATCGCCTGATGGCGACCATCAACCCCAACATGGAGGAGGTGCGGAGCGGCAGCATCGTGGTGGCCCTGGGGGCCGCCCACAGGTCCCTTCAGAGCTGCTCGGCTACGTCTCCATGGGACGAAGGGACACAATAAAAGCAACAATAGCTACAGCATGACAACGTGATAGGAACGACCGTCACAAGAGCTATCGCCTTATCATTCAGCAGCGAGTGGAAAACGAGCAGACGGAGGGATACGCTGCAATTGGTGATGCGCATGTGCGAATGTGTGAAAGTGCGACTATGTGTAGATGCGTGGTGCGAAAAAGTGGGTAGCAGAGAAGAACAGTGAAGACACCGTTGCAGCAGACACACATTTTCCCGTAAAGTCCCCCATCGGCATTACCGCCAACCTTTACCACCAGCGCGGTCCGGTGCACTGTCGCGCGAGTTTGTAGCCAGCCATGTCAGAGATGTGAACAATCCAGCACACGGGGGAAGAAGAAAGGGATGATAGCCACCCTTTCTCGCTGGATCCCGCGGTGAAAATGGACTAACGCCATTTTCAAGCCCACTGGTGCAATGTGAGATGAACTTGACATGAGGACATCAATGGGTGTCGATGAACGTGAAATGATGTTCCAATACAGATTCATATCGACCAGAAGCCTTTCTTATTCTGAGCTACGAGCAATAGATAGTACAAAAACAAAATATATTACATAAAATTCAGCCTGTCGACAGGAAACAATAGGGGCATTCCACGTCAAATCAAACACCGAAATCCGTCATCCCCTTCGATTTTTCTGAAAATTTGTAGGCAGACTGGGCATGGTTCAAAACTGAGTTACGTATAATATTTTCAAAATTTGATAACGTATCGCTGAGATATAGGTCATCGAATATAGCGAAAAATGCCACACATCAATTTTTTAAATGGCTATATCTCTGGTTCCTTTTCTGGTATCAAAATGATATTAACAGGGTCTTATAGGCAATTGATAAGGCTTTGATTTTTAATTATAAAATTAAATTGAAGTGACCTTGAAATGCCTTTGACCTTGAATTAAAACAGAAAAAATTAAATAGCAAAAAACACGTCACCTTCGATTTGGGTAATTTTTACATATTATGTCCGTCACAATGTTCCTAACCATCTGTGAAAAAATTGGAGTGGGCCATTCATAACTTTCGTGGCAAACGCCGTTTTCATGCATCAACATCACGCAACCGCGCGTGACCTTGAAAGACAGAGTCAAGACATGCTTGCTTGTGTACACTTTCTGAAATGAATGATTGCTGATTAGTGATATCCCAAACTCTGCGAGAAAATGCATAGTCATCGTAGTCAAGCATTCACGTTCCATAGTAAAAGTGTCTCAGGCAAACGGTATTTTGCGGTGAATTTTGAGCCGTGTGGAAATGCATCATGAAGTAAATTCAACGAAAACATTATCACGCTACGATATTTTCACGTCTTTTGATCTCCACTATACGAAAGAACATACATTTTTAGTATGTATGGGGAATTTCTAGTTAATCCAATAAAGTTAGAGGCCTGCTAAGAGTACCTAACGCCGGCTGAGGCGGGCTCGGCCGATGCGGGAAACGCAGCAATCCCAATTTTGTGTTTACACGTTCATATTTCAATTGTTTTCCAACCGATTTTCAAAATTCTTTCACCATAAGATTGCCTGTACATTTCTTAGTCTTCTCACAAAATTTGACGCGAATCGAACGTAATCAGCGGTAGGGAGCGCGATGTAAAGACGGAACCGTTCCGTTCCGTCCCGGCACAGTCTACAATTCAGGCGGCGCGTAGCGGTCGGCGCCGGCTGCCGAGCCGCCGCGTTGCTGCGGCGACAGGATGTTCACTTTACACCGCTATTACTAGAACAGTTGTGAAACGATTTTCTTATTGCTTGCACGATGAGATGCCCAATTCAATTCTTGACAGGTAGCCATAATTAATTTCGCATTAATCTTATGAGATATTGGCGAAAAACAGGAGGGGTGGACGAAATTCGTTCTTCCCCCTCCACTGCGCGTGCTAACATACGTTTGCATATGTGCAATTTTCTTCAAAACTTATGAATGGCCCACTCTAATTTTTTCACAGGTTGTTAAGAATATAGTAGGCAATAAAATATATGAAAATGAGCCAAATCGAAGGTGACGTGTTTTTTGCTATTTCAATATTTGTGCTTAAGAACAGAGTTAAGCAAATTTCAAGGTCATATATTTAAGTTAGTGCAATTCTAAACAAATGCTTAAGAAATTACCTAAACAGTAAGGTTTATTTCATTCAAATCAAACAAGTACAACCAAAGTTATGGTCGTTCAAAAATATAAAGATGCAACATTTTGTAAAAATTTGATGCCCTATATTTAGAAGACCTGTGGTCAGAATGTGCAAAAAACATCAATGTAATGTCCGGGGCCACACAGGAACTCGCTCACAAATTTATAATGAAATCGCTGATGGTAAGGTGCAAAACAGCCGATTTTTGTTCGATTTGACGTGGAATGCCCCAATAAAAGGGTATTGTGTTACAACATATGGGTTCATATTACGGCTTCAGAAATTTGGGCCTCCAATGTTGATTTCCCAAATCAGCGCACAGTCCATATATAGAGAAGTCTGTGACTGAATACATGTAATACTTTATTTGCAAAAAAATACGCGTACTAAACGCGATTATTCCAGTACCCAAAAGCTTGCTTTTGCAAGCAGGGTTACACAATATTAAACTGCATTTTTGCTGAAGATCGACCAAACGACACAACTATGTTGCTAACGCATATGTTTTCAAAAACGTTCGGCATTCCATTCCTGCCCCTTCCTTCTTCCTCCTCCAACATCAGAAGCGACCGGGTATCTGATGACAGCTAATGATGCTTCATTTATTCACCACGCCGGCCACCAGGGCGGGAAGCCACCAGTCCGATGCCGACGGCGAGAATTGCCTGCTGCTGCTCCCGGCCGACGTCGCCTCGGCCTGTTCTTCCTTCTCACGCGCTTCCCTGGGTCACCAGTAGGTGGCGGTCGGGAGTCGGTGACCGTCGCTGCCGGCGGGTCACGATACGGTCCCCCGCCGACACTGGAAACGTGTGCAGAACTGGTGGAGGTTGCTGTGCCGGTGACTGTACTCGTACCTTGGCCACACCGCCTGGGTTGGTGGGCCGCGCTTGTACCTTCTGCAGGTTTTGCGTTAGTAGGCTGAAGAACACGAATATCGATGTCATACTCGCTGCCATCCTCTTCATCCCCTCGTCCTGCGGCGTCTCCCGAGTTGCCGTGGTGGGGTGGGAGGGGTCGCTGATCCGCGTCTGGAGGACAGCCCGTGTCCGGGGTCTGGCTGTCCACTGGCGAGGGGAAGACGATGGCCGTGGATGAGCCCGTCGACGTGGCGTTGCTCTCCAGCTGCTGGGTGGGCGGCGGAGAGGTTGGGGTCTCCTGGCCACCGGGAGTCGTTTTGTCTTTGCACCCGCTGATAAACGGCACGGCCTTGCACAAGAACGACACCGGAGCGAAATCTGCGAAAGGCGCATGCAGTGTGATTAGGAGTTTCTTGATAGAGGCGCATGCAAAATATAAATGGGAGTGACAGAAGGGTCGTGTTTAGGTCGTAGTTGGTAGCACTGAACCCCAATTATTTGCAAATAATGGTCTGTCTTGTCTTCACCATCTACCTACGCTTTATGCATACCGGAAAAGTAACAAAAAACGATGTTTGACTTGAAAACAATTAGATGAAGAAGGCAGATCATGGGGAAGGAAATTTGTTAAATTAATTTATATTGAACAGATGACGACATATAAAATCATGGGGTTTAGGCGTGTACAGACTTTTTGCGAATGTCTATGAATTTTAAGCGCACAAGCAATTCTTCAAGTTTTCCAGCAGTTTTTCAACAGTACATACGTGTCGCTACATTTTACTGGCCATGCAGGAAGTAACCATTATATGTAGTTATGCGTGGATACCTTTTGGACCGTAGCAGACCTTCAGCGAGCAGGCCCATTCTCCCGCCAGACAAAAGCAGTCGTTGCAGCCTCTCTTCATGGAGTCTCCAGCACGACACTTGCCCTCAGATGCTGAAACAGGCGCAGGGAACATGCACTCACATACGGCGATCTAATTAGCAGGCATCAGTAATCAGGCCCCATAAGTTATTTCTCGAGACATTCACGATTGTCAGAATTTCTGCTAGAATTACTTATCCTTTCTTGATGCTTTTTAGTGCTCACATCTTACTCAAGGAGACCTTGACAAGGTCTCGCTTCATTTGGTATTTATCAGGCAATTTGTAAGCAAGTGCTGACAAGGAAATGTTAGTGCGTAACATACGTACCGGATTTGAGAGGTGCCGATTTGCATATAATGGCCACGAAGGCAATGCCCAGAATCTCTCGCACAATCATCTTCAAGGTCTCTACGCACACCTGCTCTTCTCAAAAGATCACTTCCCGGTACAAAAGGGGTATCGCAGATGCGGAAGGCTTTTTCTTCTTGACCACTGTTTATGACACCCAAGTTTTGAGCTCCAATCCACAAACAAAGTCACTTCACTGAAACACTTGTTTCTTCTTCATATAGCGCGCCTTTCTTCAGTGATGTGATTTAGACAACATTGACAAACCGCTTTTCTCACTGTCACAGCTAGCAGCAGCAGGCTCTTTTTCGAGCGTGTCCCATTCACTGGTGCCGTGGAAACATTGGCCTACTCAGACTACGACCTTCAGGCTGTCGACCTTTGGGAGCGTGTAACCGACAACACCAATTCACTGTCCTAATTGCCGGGATGCGGTGTATTGTCCTCTACTTCAGTCACATGTTCTGCGAGCCTCCGCGGTCTGTTGTTCCACGCTTCAATCGCTGTAACAGACACTTTCAAAGGTCGCGCGAAGCTGGGCTTTTTGCGTCCTCAAACCAACCTGCAGTCAGCAGTCTTCAGTCTCAGTCACAGTCTCAGTCACAGTCTTCCACTGCCATCTTCAATCCGCACTGCCGCCTCTACAACGGTTGTGGCTGCTGTCCTGTTCGCACTGTCGCCTGCAGAGCCGCCTGCTCCCTCCTCCTACTGACTGACTGAGCGTTGACCCTGCACTCTCCGCACTGCTGCTCTCAGAACCGCCGGACGACCACTGACAGCACTAACAATGGACGCACGCGCCGCCGCCGCCGCCGCCGCTGCCGCCGGCCAGTGCGCCGCACGGGTGGCGGCCCGAGGAGAAAGCGAGGGGCACCCTGCATGACGGCTGCGTCACGTGATAGGGTGTTGGACGACACAGTGACGGACAGTGAGGTCACGTGACCGACACCTGACCGACGGCTGAGGGGCCGCGCCGGATTACCGTGTCGGGGATGGAAGTTAGATGCACTGAACGGGCAGAGAAACGAGGGTAATGCCGTTTTATTGAGACATGTTCCGGATTGTCCTTGGTGTTGCTATGTTGGTACTCGTTTTTGTTGTAAGATATGATTATGTTCTTGTTGCAAATCATCGCAGTATATGGCTCAGATAAGGCCGCACTAATAAGCTATCGGAATCAAACAGAGATAAGAAAATAGTTTAGGACTCACTGACTGCAAAATTGCATGCTAATACGGTTGTTAACCCTCGCGGACCCGGGAGGGTTCGCCCCCCCCCCCTGGCGAATATTTGCGATAGCTCCCGAAAGCTTAGGGATAGGAAAGCGAAACTTTCAGTACCTTTTCTTCCATCAATTTGACATCTTTTGAAGTAAAAAATTTGGACCTAGCCCCATTGATGATGTCACAAGGTCGATTTTTCTAGACGCTTGCACGGCAAATTTCGGCGTCACAGACGCGAACTTCAAATTGCTGCTGAAAATAGAGTTTTAGAGATAAAGACAAATTACGAGCACGGTTGAGTAGCGTTTGATCTAGAGAAAAATAAAAATAGTTTTGGTGACCTGAGGTCAGAGGTCAGGTCAATGATCCCGCGTTAGGCGGCACGGGCGGACATCGATAGCAGCGCCTCTATCGGTCACTAGGGAAAGCTGGGCTGTAGGCGACGAAATACCGGCTGAGTTGTCACACGAATAGGTTTATAGCCATCCGTCTTGTGAAAAAGTTGAACTTTTGCCTTTAATATTTCTACAGGCAATTTTAGAAGTGTCTTCACATGGATTACAAAACCGTTTAGATTGTTGTATTCACTTCAAGCCTTCCCTATTGTTCTTGATGATGCGGGAACTATTTCTAATTAGTGTTTCTAGCTTAGTAAAAGAACATACTGTGCAAACGATGAAAAAAAGCATAAATGGAAGATTTTAAATGCAATTTTCTCTAACAATTAATGGTAAATTATCTACATATCAAGGAAAAGGTGCATGCTAACTGATATTTAAAGTTCTTGGGGCCACTTGTTTTCTTCTTTTCTTACGTCGCCCCAATGGCCGCGAATACACTTGTGATGACGCTTATCGGAGCTGTGGTTTCAATTTTTCACCAAATAACTTTCACAAAAATGGTCCTAGAGCTACGGCAGTGGTACCATCGCATTCGCCTTGTCAAACCGCGTCGAATGATTTATATTTTGTTTGGAAAGGTCAAGTTTTATGTTTTATGAAAGGTCAAGACCTCATGTGACCTCGAATGACCTTTGGTTGACCTTGACACATGAAAGGTCGATTATGATGGATTCTTACCCGCTGATCACGAAACTGGCATCTATTTTCCTCTAAGCCTTCATTTAGAGCCTCCGGAGGGTAAAAATGTCTTATTTATTATTACTAACTTGAATCAGTGAAATAGCCTCTAGCAAGGACACTCCTCTGTGACCTTGACCTTTGAGCAGCCTTGTATCGTAAGCTGAACCACAAATAGGGACCTGATAAGCCTCAAAACATTTTAAAACATCTTGAAAGTTAGCACGCAAGATGTACGAAAAAGTGCAAAGTTTGAGGTCAATTTTTAGCATGACCTCGACCTTTACCTTTGAATTTGAGCACATTTGCGGAATCCTCAGATTCTCTTCTTGCGTTTGACACCCAATTTGGCCGGTTTTATGCATCCTACCGTCCTCCAGAACGCTTATTTTGAGATCACTACACATGTGCCGGTTTTGTCTTTGACCTTGACTTCTGACCTTGAAAATTGACCTGAGGTCAAAAATTTTGGTGCTTTAGAGTCGTCTTGTAAGGACCTTTCGTTTGGTACCTATCGCTTTTGTTTGCGTAGCTCCCTTATTTACGGAGCTAGACGGGGGGGGGGGGGGCGGCGAAAAACGCCCCCCGGGCTGCGGTGGTTGGGATTAGTTACCCCCCGGGCCCGGCCGGGTTAAATAGGAAATCACGCATCAATGGAGCAAACGTCATTTCTTATGTTTCATTGATTTGTTTTTCTTGCTATGCAATATGACATATAAATGCATATATTATTTTTCACTCCATTTTTCCCAGCGCAATGTCAGCCTTCTTGTTCTCCTGGCTGGATGACAAGTGCTGCTTTCCTAGTCCTGCTTTGAAGAGAGGAAGTCACAAACCGGTATCGGCAACTATGCACGATGAACTGGCTGCACAGTGCAAAGTCCACAATTGCACCTTTCACCTTGCACATGCCCACAGTCGTTTGACATGGGCTTCTTCATGTCATGTGTCACGTGCCACTGTTAAATGTATCGGCTTTGTCCGGTGGAGACTTGGCCAGGTATCGGGATGGCCATTGGGCTTGCTTCAGTTGTGCAGGATTTATACCGATAGAGCATTTTTCTCACCATCGATGTTGTCCTGGTAGTATTGTATTCGCCGATGATAATTATAACAACTCTCACACTCGACGTCACATCATTCAGATATGGTGTCAATATTTTATATTGTCCACACCATCTTTTTTCTAATTGAATTTCAGTAACTGAATCGCCCTTGTTTCACAGCCAAGATCTTCGGATAAGTCACATAACCACACATATGCCAGCCACAGTCTACCAAATCCGCCCGGTTTGGCTTTGGGTACCTACGGGCTACGGCTCCACGGCCGAGTCACCGCCAGGGGTGTTATAGATGACGCTGCCGTCAGAACACCGGGACGCTCTCGGTTATAAAGGTGCTCCCACCGATCACGGGCGCACCTGTGCAGCTCAGAGGTATGTCATGGGCGACTCAGTGAGTATGAGTACCATGCATTGGACTTCTGAGCATTCATTTAGACTTCTGAGCATTCATGTCGCGCATGCGTGACATGAATGCACGCCGACAGATATGTGAGGTGCGGCAGACATCCGTGAGGTGCGGACGCCTAGAGCCGGCTCATCCTCACCCAGTCGGCTCACAATAGGAGGACTCATTCAGTCTCAGTCGGTACTGAAATACTTCACTTTTGTGAAAATCAGTCGCGGCTCTGGAATGATAGAAGTATCTGCTGCTAGGGAATTGTGCAAAGACGACGCCATGGTACTGATCTTACCTCAGGTGACTCAAGGTAAAAAATCTGAATGTTCAAGATCAAAAATCTAAATGTGACCTTTTGCAGGGCACATACCTTTCCAAGTATTAGTCGCTAGTCGCTACCCTAGTCTCGCTTTACTTCGTTTACTCTGCTCATGCTCAGCCTATCACCAATATGAAGGCGACAGACTGACGATGCATTGAAAGTAAGGTCACTTGGCCGAGTGTTATGTACTTATCTTTTGAGCACATTACCTGAAAATTTTGGGTTCCCACTACGTCAGATCGCCAATCCAACGTTATGCCAGGTTATGACGTCATGTCAATTTATGTTCAGCTGAAGGCGGTGATTTTTGCAATCTAAACAATTTGTGCTATGTCGTTTGGCGAATGTTTCTGCATTGCAAGTGATAGAATTGGTGTAACTGACTGTTGCCGCCGCAGGTCCGAATTTGTCTCGGAAACGCGCTCGCTGCTCTTTTGAGTTTATTGGAAGCACCAAAACGGTTTCTGAAGACACAACAAAGCAAACAAAACATGTTAACATTCAATTTAATCAAGCTAAGAAATAACAAGATCGCCGGATGACCCGAGTACTTATGATTTTTATAGCACAATGCCCGAGTTTTCTGCAAAGTTCTTCCCCACTTAGGGGCCTAACGTGAAGAAGGCTAAGCCTCCCCATCCGCTTCCTTGTGTGCCCTGGATTGTGCAGGCTATCAAATGCCAGCGAGGGTTTATCTTGATCAAATGCAATATTTCCTTCTAAATAGCACATTGTAAGAGTCTAAAAACTCAAAGTGGGCGGGCTGCGCCACTACCCATTAGTTTTACTCGCATGCCGTTATATGCTCTATCAGTGACATATTTGCCTCTGCATAAGCATATCCTTCGGTCAAATCGTCTCCGCAAAGGATTTACTGCAAGTCTTGCGATGCATGAAGTTTTCAATCCGTGCGAGCGCTGTGCTCCACCCAGGTTATCTTCTATTATTCATGAAGAGAGCAGACCATTGGCCATGGAAAGCCACGATAAACTGGCAGATAGCTGACCGTTTAATTACCATACGGGTGGGACCACAAGGGTGTCGCCTGAACTGGATGCCATTCTGGCAACAGGGAGGGGCATGTACCCATCCCATGGCGATTAGTGAAATGTGGGGATGTTTTGACAGGCGGCAGTGCCGAGAAGCATGGAATGGTATCAGATGTGAGCGACCAGTGCAGCCCGTTGACGCGGATCGGTGGCTTGTTTCAGCCGCTGCGGCTCACCAACTGATGGACGTCTCATTCCACGTCCCTCGGTCATCTCATCATCCCGTGAATCTGAACTAGCAGTGGTAATTTATTATTATGCTGATCAATGATCATGATACTGAAAGGGTTAACCCAGGCCCAGCACCAAAGGCAGACATAAGAGAAAACTGAGGACAGGGCAGAAAATGCATTCCTAAGTAAATGAAAATACAGTTCACCTGTAGTAAAGACTCTAAATCAAATGATGAACTGCAGCAGTCAAAGCTATGATCTTGACCACAGGAAACATGTCTTCAAGCCGTTGAGGCTTCGAATCTATTTGCATTCAACGACCTTTGCTTGCTACTGTTCTTTGAACCATTACCAATAAGCAATATTGTTCCAGAAAGCGTCTCAATGCAAGGATATATCAAAACGCTCGTTCTCCACACTTCCTCTGCCCCAGCGGTCTCTTAGCGGCTCTCTAATGAGCCCCTCACCGGCGCGGCCCACCCATAATGATCGAGGCGGCTCGGCGTCGCCTCTGATTTGTATGCGT